CTTTCCATTTATATGTGCTCTTTCTGCCTAACTCCCTTTTATGTTTGGTTGGCCCTCCTTCCCTCTACCTAATTCTCTGTCTCCTCTTTCTTACTCATACTCCTTCTAAGCTTACACTGTCTCTTTTCTTTCCCTCTCTCTCTCACTATCTTCCTTTCTTATTGCCTAACATTTTCTTCTTTCATTCTTCTGGTCTTTTCTTTTTCAATTAATTTCTATCTCAATTTCACTATCTCTATCTCTATCCATTCGTCACATCGACTCTCATTTAAGTGTTTACAGGAAAGAGGATATTTGTTTATCTGCTTTTTCTCCATCCCCATCTCACCTTCTTCATCAAGTATTTTTATTTACTTCTTTCTTTCCTCTCCCTCATTCTTTAATTGGTATCTTACCCAATTTTTCACAGAATCCATTTCCATTTCTTTCTTGTCTTTTTTTTTCCATCTTTTTCTCTCCCCCTGGTTTTGTTCACACACATTTTTGTTCCTCCCTTTCTTTCTCCTCTAATTTTTACTCATTCTTTTGTTTTCTGTCTTTCTCTGTGTGTGTGTGTGTCTGTGTATGTGTGTGTGCCCATCCGTGCACCCCACTCACATGTGCACAGAAGGCAGGAGGGGTGAGGAAGGGGGAGTACAGATGCTTAGAGAAGTATCTACAGAATACTTTCCTATGAGGATCTCCTGATTTGGTTGTTTAAAAGGGGTCAATGAATTTAAAAAGAATTCTGGGTTGAGGTCTACACTTTTAGGATGAAATCTATTGAAAGCCAGGCTTAATTATCTGTACTTCATGCAAATTAGAATCTAATTGTCCTTCCCTAGGACCCCTTGCAAATGTTTATTTCTGTTGCAGCTTGTACCAAACTCATACTTTAATTACTTATCCATGTGTCTGATACCCCACTCAGTTGTTTTCCTAAGATAGTACTTAGCCCAGATTTCTAATTATATAAGAATCAAGTGTCAGCAATTAGCTTAATTCAATTAAATAATATCACACTTCAAACCTGTTAAGGTGATCATATTAACAACCAAGACTTACTATCACAGCCAATTATATGGATAGCTGGAGATAGAATTAGTTCTATTGAACACATTATTAGACTTGTTGGAATCCTTTACTCCAACAATAATCCATTTACTAAGTGCTGAGCTAACTAGTAAGACTATAAAAACTGTCAAGTTTCAAATTTGGTTATGAATTCTTGACCCAGACATTCTGGCTTTGAACCCCAGCTTTGCACCTTGCCAGTTACATTTATAAGTCAGACTAAGACTGTGCCTTCTTCCCAAAGAGCTAGCTGTTACTCCACAGTGACTATTCTGTGTATGCTGAGTTGGTTCAGGAAGAGACTCTTCATTGGAAGCTTCAGACTCAGCCTCAGTGTTCACTCTGGCTTCATTTAAATTAATTTTTTTTTCTGTTTATTATTTGGGAACTCCAAATAATAATGCTAGATTTTTCATATGTCAGTAAATATAGGTCCTTTCTTTTCAAATTAACTTAAGGAAGGATCTGATGTACCAAGTGGTTTTTCATGGAGAGATTAGGAACACTCCAGTTACAGAATGAGACTTCAGATTCCACAGTTTGAAACTTTAGGAGGAAAAAGGATTAATCACTGGGGCAGTGCCTGTGGCTCAAGGAGTAGGGCGCTGGCCCCATATACTGGAGGTAAGGAGTTCAAACCCGGCCCCAGCCAAAAACTGCAAAAAGAAAAAGAAAAAGGATTAATCACTAATAAAATTGCATATTTTATTGGGCTGTTTCTCTCCTACCAAAGTACGGTTATCTATGGAAGTTTATTGCAGCAAGGGGGTGAGCAGAAATGAGTTTGTAAATTCACTGGATGCTATTCTTAGTTACAAGGTAAGCAAATTGCTCCTCCTGGCAAGTCACACAGAGTGGACTACGGCTCAGGAAATGCCTCCAGCCTCATTGATCTGCTACTTGTTCCAAATCTCCTCACACTCAGTTCCCCTCTTATTTCTGACCCTCCCAGCTTCGCCTCTCATCATCAGTTTGATTTGGTAATCTCAACGGGCACTGTTTATATTAATATCTTCTAAAATCTTCATAGAGTGCTGGCTTCTCGCCTTCCCACTCTGCAAACATGGACACAAGAC